TAGTACAGTAGTCGTAGTGTCCAATCGCAGCCACGCAGTAGTCTTAGGTCGAGGCACGGGCGCCGCCATGCCGGCAATCAATCCCGAGGCACGCCGCGCCCTGGTTGTCTTGTTGCGCCCTTCAGAGGAATTTGTCGAATGAGCTGACTGCTCCTCACCGGAGAGGCAGCCAGCTCTGATTGGTAGATTTACAGGGACGCATCCACGGAATTGATGGTCCGTGGGTACGTCCTACTGTCTGTGCCGCACAGATGTGTCATACATGTGCACGCGCACGTGCGACAAGGCCCACATGATGTGGCACATCTGTGTGGCATGCAGACACTCTTTGTGTTGGCTGCATACTGCTGTGTGATAATACTATTTTGTCTAGATATGCAATGGTTGGCTCCTGGAGCCTCTGGTACCATGTACCAGGTATTACAAGAGTGACAGGTCACTCTTCATGTAACTTGGGTACGCTTGGGTTATACCCCGTTACAGTATTAGAGGACTTGGACGTGAATGACGGTACTTTGAACCAACTCTGCCTCGTGCCGACCTTCATGAATCGTCTGAGTCTACAGCGAGTGAAAATACAGTCGTATGCGCGATGGGAAGACGAACGGTTGATTATCCGAACAGCGTTGCGGATTTTTGCAGAACCGTCAACGAGCTATCACTACGGGATGCCGGACTCGATACTGAAACGCGCAACGGTGGAAGTGATGGAGTTCCTGTGAAGCTCCAAGTTGAAGGTGATTGGGACGCTGCTCCAGGTGGACCAGTGCTGGTGCACACCCCCACGAAATGACGTCCAAGTGACTAAGATCGGTTAATTAAGTGTTGCTACACGGTTTGTTACAATGACTTCAACTTACTTAGCCAATGAATGCAGGGATGTTTTGATTTGCTATGTCCGTTTATTGTTACCTGGCAACGATATCACGAAGAGAATTCTCGTCGCTGTGCTGTTTCATCTTCGCTGTCAGGATGGAAGACGGCTCATGCTGTGGAGACTGTTCTGCTCACAGTGTTCAGAGCCGTCAGCTATCCTAACGGGCGACAGGCTGCGGACTTACAGTTAACGTCTGTCGTCGTGGATGGCTGCGCTTTAAGACCGGCGGACAACGCGCTGGAAAAACGAACCAGACCGCTTCAAACGCAGCAACCACTTGATTCCAACGTGGCCTGGCTGCAAAAAACAAAACAAAATTGCAACAAAATTGGCACCGATTGACGCCGAGCATCCGCAGCTCATCGCAGTTTGCGACGCAGAGGGTTGTACAGACTTCAACGCCGTCGCTTCTGAGCCGGAACGTAGAAGCAATCTCTTTTCTCCAGAGAGCGCTCCATCACCAAGTCAGTGATACAGGATGTATGGATGATCGCTGGTTACACCCATGCATGCGCAGCGTTCAACTTCCCCTCTTCTCACACAAGCTAGCAGAGGGAGTTTGGTGATGTCTTCTTGCTTTCGTTGCTGACAGACGAGGGCCGTGGCCTCGACGGCACAACACGTGAGTCAGAAGCGGTCAACAGCGTCAGTGATTGCGGTCAGGAAGGCGAGCGAGCTAACGTCGTTATCATCGCTCGTAAGGCGAAGGAACCACGCCGATACTGCCTCATGCTTGTCGGTGTCTCGTGCTAGCAGCACGGTGCTACTGCTTCGATTAGAATGATAGTTAGCCCTCGTTGAACAAGTCGTTCGCAGCTCGTGACCAGCGCCACGTCGAATCACGACTACACTGTACTGTAATGCAGTCTGCTTTTGGAAATTATCACGGCAGCAGCAGCAGGCTGTGTGACCGATTCAACTTCACGGTGGTCCGCTAAGAGGCGGCGTGCATTGATGAAGTCACGACGAGCGAGTGTCGCTGCCAGGCTGGCTTCGTGTCTTCACGACAGCAGGAGGTACATTACTTGTACGACACTTGTTGTCGGTGCCATAGCAGACAGACAGACGCGCAGATCGAATAAGATTCATCTACCGCGTTCACATAGCGCTTCAAGCAGACGAGGGCGTCTGCAAAATTGGATTGCTGAGCTCGAGCTTGGACACGGCTGTAATCGACGTGCAATGCACTGCAACATGCGGAGCGCTTCGGTATGACTGCAACAACATGCATCTCGCTCCGACGCCGAGCTCGACACGTCGGTTCATGCCGCGTGAGGCGTGGCGCTGTGTGCAGTAACTTCGCGAGATCCTGTGAGCACGGCAATGCAGCGAGTTCTCACCCGGCCAGCACGACAGCGATACCTGACAAGAATTGCGTGTTAGTACCAGCGGAGATCTCAACAAGCAGCACGCTGTCGCAAGGCGCTCATCGCTGGCGATCGGCTCCTACGCCGTCGCTCCTACAGCATGCATTTGTGAGGAACAACAATGGGCTGTGTTGCATTGCTTGAAGCGGAGGAGTAGCCCGCTCTCCTTCGAAGGCTTTCACAGCGTCGCCACTGCCGCAAGCGTGACAAGCAGCTCAACTCTTTGTCCGTCTATCCGATAGTGGTCCAAATGTCTTCGACACGTGACCAGGACCAGCACCAAGCAGTGTGCGTGTCTACAGCGCTTGCACTGCGACACTGGGGCGCGAGTCTCACGGTGAGAGGCTTCCAGACTTCGAGTAGGGCCATCACACGACTGCGCTGCAACGGAGAGCGACATTTTGCAAGCAATGCAGCTCTTCACCGAGGTCGTCCATCTTGACTAAGACAGCCGTCCGCCTTTACCTGCTCCTCGCAGGGGGAGGTCATCGCTCCTATAGCATTGACGTACATGCACGCGAACCCAAGGTAACGGATCCCGTGCGTCTTCCCTATGCGAGAAGCACATTGCGACTCCGAACTCGCAGTGCGACGTGCTCCTGGCGTTTGCTGTAGACGCTGCATCATTGGCAGACATGGCGAGGTTGACATGATATCCCATTGATCTGCGGCCGTTGAGCATGCAGCATCGCATGCAGCAACAGTGCCGGCACGGTGCTAGCACTCCTAGCATAGCCAACCACCGGGCAGTTAAGCCAGAACAACGACACTTTACCCATGCTGAAGTATCCACGCACTTCAACGAGGTCTGGATTTTTCTTATTCGACTGACGTGGCGGCGGCCTGCGATTGGTCGAAATTCACTTCAACTTGGCCACGTAACGAATCCGCCTTCGCATGGATTGCCGACCAATTCTCCGGTAACGGCAGAGACCCTCGCCTTCAGATCACTTGCCTGCCTCGAAGGCTGTCGACGTTTGAACAATAGCCATAAGGTTAGTGCTGCTGCCAAGACGGCGGCTTGTTGCTCGATTAAATACCCCTTCGGAACAAGAAGAGGGCACATCAAGGATGAGAGGATTCGAATACGCTCTCTCATATCATGTCACTTCGACAGTGGCCACAGTTTCGGCCTCAAACGATTTGTGTATCCGGCGTAACTTTTTTCAGCTCGACTAGCTACATGTACACGCTTTTTTTTTCTAGTGTTTTCCACGTCGCTGGCGTGCCAGCTTCGACTGCCGCCGTTGCTAGCGTTGCTGCCCGACCAGCGGATTCCGGGGCCTAGCGAGCGTTCCCTCGAGTTCGCTGCGTTCTGGCTAGTAGCTGCCGAAGACCTCTGCGAGCTCGGCGATGTTCCCCCCGCAGACAGGGCCCAATTGTCGAGCATTAGCTATTGCCGCGCCAGTACAGCGCCAGTGAGAGGCGTCGGCTATCCAGACCACCTTCCCGTCGAGTCGCGAGGCGAATACGCGGTCGACGACTGGCGTGACACCGAGACGGCGGCAAAAAGCGCCATGATGCCGCTGCATGCTGCGCCGGCCTCTCTTCACAATCGCCTTCGTGCAGAATGCAAAGACAGGCGGATCGCTTTTTTTGCGCCAATGGGCGGGCGCCGTTGTGACGCTTCAACGGTCAACAGCTGGCGCTCACCACGAGCGAGAATAAGCATTCGCGGAAAAAATGGGATTTTGTGTGGCGCCAGTCGACCGCCCTGAACTGAGCGCGAATGTATCACATGGTGTCACCGGCACGCAACCCCCTTTTCGTCGGCGCTGTCTCCTAGACAAGCGTCTACCAAACTGCCGTGACATGGCAGGCGGTTGTGTATCATGCGGCTCGGCAGCCAACATTGAAAAGCCTATTTTTTTTCTGCCTGGTTTTTTCTGTTTTGGTCGGCGTGCGGAGACTTTCAGACCAATTTGGACCAAAATGGCGGCAAAGATGGAGCGCTACCCGAGAGTCGGACAGATCAGGCGCTCACTATGGCGCGGATGAACTAACGTTCGATTGGAAGCTCCCCCGACTGCGAAACGCCTTCTCGAAGCTCGCATCCCATTTCTTTGGCCTGGTCTCTGCTGAGGCAGGGGAGCACAAAGCAGAATTATAGTCCGGGATAGAGCCCCGTTTCTGGAGCCGCTCTTGCTGGCGTGCGCTTTGTCCGCAGCCGCGGGGCGACTCTCATTCGCTGAATTCCTACGCACGACCCAGCCGCTCTCGTCTGTCGGCGGCCGGGCCGCTAGCACGCAACGCTCGCCTTGCTGTAGACACTGGCCGTGCTGTGAAACCTCTGGGTTCCCATTTCCCATTTAGCCAGTCAGTCACTCGGCCGGTCCGACTCGGAGGAATAGCAATTCGCTCGGACTGTGACAGAGGACACCTCTACTTCTATTTAGCAGCTTTGTCGGAGCGGCAGCAGCTCTCTGCCTCTCACCGCGCGCGGGTCATAATCGACGTCCAGCGCCTTCCCCCCTCGGAGCAACCGCCGCACGGAGAGCGCTGGGGCGCGCGCCTTGCTCGGCTCGGGCTCCTGCTGGTGCATTGCCTATTGCGGCCCTTCCTGGCCTCGTCCGCTCCGTCGGCTGTAGATACGCGGCCCATGCGCAGACTCGAACCGCAGTCTACTACCGCTAGCAACTCTCAATCGCCCACCAAGTCGCTTGTCGCCGCCGTGCTACAGCGACTCTCGATGGACCTCCCCGCCGCTCCCAGTGTGAACAGCGACAGCGCGAGCCCCACGAATAGCAGCAGTGAACCGTCGCCCCAGGCGGCAGACGCCAAGCCAAAGACTGCGCCGTCGCCGCCGCCGTCGCCTAAGATGGTTAAGACCCAGGAACCCGTTCCGGAACAGGAGCAATCACAGCAGCAAGAAGACGCGGACATCGACGACGTGGAGGAGCTCAAGCAGACGCTCCTGCGCAAGTCCACGGGCTCCATCGCCATCATGACGCGGCAGCAGGAGGCGTTCGACCACCGCCGACACACATTCAGCGCCATGTCGGCTGACGGACGCGCTAGCATGCGACGACGCAGCTACGACCTGACCGCGCAGTTCGGGTCAACGTTCCCGCCCAGCTCGCCGCCGCAGCCGCAGCCGTTGCCGCACACACTCAAGGCGCATCACCACCTGCAACACTTGAGAGTGTACGGCGGCTTAAAGACCGCCGGCCCCGCCAAGAGTATCAGCGAGTGCCACGAAGAAGGGACCCCCATGGTGGCACTCGTAACGCCCAATCCGGACACAGTCTGGACACGAGGCAAACCCGTAAACATCGAGTGGAAAGTGCTAGATGCCAAGGTGGACAAGCTCTGCATCGAGCTATTGGAGGACGGGCTGAGTGCCACGACGCTCATCGCGAAAGAGGCCCCAAACACGGGCTTCTTCACATACCACAAGGTGCCGTGGGGCATGGAGTCCGGCAATAAGTATTTTCTGCGGGTATCGGCGGCGGATGACCCGGAGAGGTACCGAACGAGCAGTTTCTTCCAGATCAGCTCGGCCCCGTGACATCCCCCCATAGTTGGAGAAGAGTTAGGAGAAAAGTAGTATGTGAAGGTCTATTTAATGTAATTGCCGAAGTAGTAAGTCAAAAGGCAGTGTGAATTGATAAGATGGAAGTCATATTTGCTATTTTTCGGTATCTTGCATTCGTTTACATGGATGGACACGCCGATTTGCCTCGGTGTTCATTGACTTGGAGATGGTAAGAATGGTAGAGCTTCCACTTGACTTCCGACGTGGGTGAAGACGACGGTGAAGCTAAGTGGCGACGGATTTGCATTCACTCTGATACACGCATCGACTTGCGTTGGGTGGGTGTCTGATTGGAGCTAGTTTCACGACCGCTTTCGGTCAAGTGAGACCCAACGGTCAGAACCTGACGCCAGCGATCGGAAGGTGGCGTACGGCAACCGGATAAGGTCGTGGTTGGCGCATTCGCCACCAAATTCATTCTTCGCTGTACGGTGGATGCCCCATCGACTTGGTCAGCTCACCGCGGCTTTCCACCAATGATGTTAGCTATTTCGTTAGATTGGTCGAAACGATACTTCTCGTCATTGGTGACAAATTTGAAGTATCAGCGGCTGTCCATCGATGTCCACATGGACAATGAATGGCGCAATATAATGGAATACATCGTGTATGACCTTTTTCAAGCAGCAATTAGATTTGCTACGGACGGTGAAAGAGAATTTGTGCATGAAGACTGTCCGATGACAGGGATACGCAAATTCAACAGCAATCACGTTTGGCTTCAAGTGTAGTATCAGTCACAGTCGAGCGCACTGAGCCTGAAAGAGCTCGATTGGTTGGAGCAGTCATGTCGATCGGCGGGGATTTCGGTCGAAAATGGAGAAATATTTGGAGGCGTTGACGGGTATAGTTTACCTAGTTTGTACAGTAGTGTAATCTACACATTAACTGGGATATGAAAATCAGCAAGCGAAGATTCTGACGCGGATCAAGCAGCATTGGCGGCATCTATATCCATAGTGATGTCGCTTGCGTCCGACGAACGTATTGACTGCCCAGCCGTGAAGGGAATAACAATCCAGTTTGCTAGCGGAGAAATAAGGTGCTTCCTCAGTGCGCAATGCCCACTACATCAATTCGGAGGGGAAAGTTGTACATGGGTTTGATAGGCCACCGGCTCGGAAAGCAAGGTAATGGGGGGGGGGGGGGGGGGGG